CATGGCATTTGCCTCTTGAATGCTCATAGGCGTATTAACTTTTCCAGTCGTCAGATAAAATATATCGCAGAACACATTAAACTACTAAAAGGCCTGGCAAGCCTAACGGACGGAAAAAAATAGAGATAAATTAGCAAGACTTGCAGAAATGTCTCTTTTACTCTGAAAGTAGAGGTATGAGAAAACAATAGTTCACAAAAAATGTAGAGAATTACTTGGCCTATCGAATGGTGTGATTGGTTTTTAAAAAATATGTTATCAGCGTTCCATGGCGTAAAAAAAATCATCGTAACAGACGGAAATATTTCTTTGCTGTTTGGTGCGCTGGTTTATGTCACGCCTTTTTATATATAGTTTAACAATAAAAGAACATATTTTACATAAGGGAGCATTTCAAAATTCTTTATTCTCTTACTTACTTCTTTACTCTAAGCTAGAGTGAAAGTCTATAATAAACATGAAACTTGACACCCTTTTGTCTTGTCGTGTTATGCTATTGTGACAAAAATCACTTTCAACTTCAATATATTGCTCGTTCCATTTGCATCATTTGTTTTTTTATTTCGTCTATTTCACTCTCAATCTATTTAATGCTTTTCATTCAATATCTTCTGCTTGTGTTGCCTACCCAGGTCGAAGCTCTACAGCCGTAAACTATAGTATACGTCGCGTAAACTATAATATACGTCGAAATACGACGAAATACATATCCATTCCAGATAAAATACGACGTCTTAATGCTTCTCAACGGTAGACGTCAGCGTATTTCGTCGTAAACAGCTCGTATTTTGACGTATACTACAGTATCCATCAACATAAACTGTAGTATACTGCCATTTACCGCTGTAGTAATCATTGTCCTGAGTACTTTCGATCATACGGCCTGCTTTTATGCCTGATTTTTACTCTGATAAGAGAACAGATAGATAAAGGGAGTCTAATAAGTATTGATTCCATCAAACAATATTCTTTGTCTCCAAGTTCCTAGAGTGGAAGAGGCTGATATTCACAGTATATATACTAGATGTCTAGATCTACTTTATGCTTAAATCTGAGCTTTCTACTTATTATTGGTACAGATACAGGTAAAGTAAAATTCATAGAAATTTTCTGAATTATTTTTAGGAATAACGAATGTCGCCTAAAAAGTTATACTGTTAGTGTTTTCAAATTCTATTCTCTATTCTCGACTTGATCGATATATCTTTTCTAATCAAAAGATTCAGTACCAAATATAAGTATGAATGTGGTGATGGACGAACAAAAATCTTTTAAGATTTCGGTGTGATTTTGTCATTACCGACAATTCATTTATTGATACGAATGCTCGCGCACTTCATATCAGATTTCCGACGGTTGACTACTCGTATAAGATCATTGTGGGAATTATACACCCCATCCAATTTAACATGGCAAAAAAGCGCTTTTTTCATGTCATGTTTAGTGAAATTGTTAAAAACCCAGTTTGCAAACTGCATCGGCTTCTTTTCTGTTGATCAGACGTCCGTGGCTCCTTGACTTTCTTGTATGCAAAATAGCCAAGAGCATCTTACAATATTCGCTAAATAATCCTGGAGATCTTCATTCCGGTGGCTAATTTTTTTGCAGACAACTGCTTCTTCCCATCCAAGCGTTGTTTCGTCTTTAAAATGTTTGCTTTTATTCGAGTCGTGCGGGTGCGACCTGAAGAGCGAGACAAATCGTTAGTGCCAATTTTATTAAGCATTCGTATCCATAAATGAATTGTCGGTAATGAAATAATCACACCAAAATTTTAAAAGATTTTTGCTGATCCATCGCCACATTTATAATTATTTCGTACAGCTGTTTGAATATCTTTACTTTTCACCTTTTTTTGAGGATATCCGAAATGAGTTTCAGATCAAATCACATATGATTTTGTTTAAAAGGGGACAGAATTTGAAAATATTAACAGTACAGCTTTTTATGCGACATCCGTTATTCCTAAAAATATTTCAAAAAATTTCTATGAATTTTACGTTACTTGTATCTTTGTAGCAATAATAAGTGGAAAGTTCATAAGTGCAGAGTAAGATAGAGAGTTCGGTGCACAGGTAGTTAGAAGAGCGGTTAGACAGTTAGTTAGCTACAGGGTGTCCTTACAGTTATTTTGTATAACTTCACTATTAATTGAGCTTTATTGACTAATTTTTTTCTATATGATAGATGAGTCCACCAAGTTTTTATTTCTACGAACAAACTTCACAAGCACTGTTCAAAGCTATTATCTTGAATCGAAAAACAAAAATTTTGCCTTTTTACTATTTCCAGAAAACGTTACGTGGCATTTCTTTTCGATGACTTCAATTCTCCGCATTATTCTGATTCCTAAATCATTAAGATCTTGATTAGCCGTTTTATAGACATTTGTTTTGATATGTTCTTATTAAAGAAATCCAATGATGTAAAATCAGATTATCGTGAAGTCTATGAGATGAGGTCTTCTTTCTCAGTCCACTGATCATCGGTAATGTGTCATTTACTATAATCTGGCGAGTCAGCTTTGAATATGTATCATGCATAGCTCTGATGGTCTTTTCTGAAGGTATATAAAGGCAGTTTTGGCATTGACAATGTCTTCTGGCTAATATGAAGATTCTAACTTAGTTATCATAAGTACAGTTTCAATGCTTAGTAGTAGGTTAATTGACATTTGACTGCATTTGAAACAGACGGATATTATATTAGATCTTGATGAATTAAAAAACAGTAGTCTTCACACTGTCCAATCTACCATACAGGCGTTATGCGTTTAAAAAACGAAGTAATAATCACATTTTTTTCGCAGGCAGCTCACTTGACATCATTGGATTTCTTTTAATAAGAACAAATGTCTATAAAACGGCTAATCAAGATCTTAGTGATTTAGGAATCAGAATAATGAATTGAAGTCATCGAAAAGAAATGCTGCATAATGTTTGCTGGAAATAGAAGGTACAATTTTTATTTTTCGATTCAAGGTTGTAGCTTTGAACAGTGCTTGTGAAGTTTGTTCGTGGAAATAAAAATTCGTTGGACTAATCTGTCATATAGAAAAAAAAATTAGTCAATAAAGCTCAATTAATAGTGAAGCTACACAAAATTACTTTTGAGGCACCCTGGAGATGTTTAGGTAAATAGTTAGTCTATGTCGATTGCAGCGTTAAGTGGCAGTAGGCATTTCTGTGAATTATTATAAAACAATAAGAGCTAAAGATTTCGAGTTTTCAGCATCGTGCACAGTCGACAAAAAATTCTTTTGCTTTTCTTGTTGGATGGATCCGATGGCTTTCCAATTGCAATATAATGGCTAGAAAGATTTCTTAGACCATCAAATTATTCCGGAAAATTGTGATGTATGATCTCCAGTAAGATCTCTATATCTTAGGAACGTAAATAGCTAGAGACCTCGGTCTTGTGCTAGTCGATAGAGGAGATCTTGGCGTTTCTAACCATTATATTACAATCGGAAATTCACATTTTATCCAGATCGGATAGAGGTCGTCTTTAAAACTCATCATGTGTTCCACAAGAAAAGCAAGAGAATTCTTTGTCGATTATGTAAAAAGATAGAGAGAAGTGCCGACTCTAGAGAGTGCATATTCACTACTCAGCTTCACATTTTAAGACGTTAGCAAAGGTCATATTTTCGTTTTTATATAACTTTTGCTATACTGACTAGGATATAAATATATATCCTAGTCAGTATAGCAAAAGTCCAAGTATAGTTGACATACTCAAGTGCTCCGTTAAAGTCTAACAGAAAGTTTACGTATAAATGAAATCGATGGAGCATTGGTATGTCAATTATACTTCGACTTTTGCTGTACTGATGAGGGCTATAGTTTTATCATTCCGACCGATGAACAGGTTGTTGACAAGAATAATTTAGGAGCTTATTTTCCCACCCCAGATGAGAAAAGTAGTTTTCGTATTCCACCCGATGGGTAGGATTCTGGGATCCCAGGATCTTCGATCCATTAGCTTAGAAGCTCATGCTTAAAAAGTTAAATATTGTTGTGTTACTCACACTCACTACCCACCCTACCCCATCCCCTTTGAATAAAGGAGGGAATCCCGGAATTCTTATATCCTTGACTTATCGAAAGAATTGAAGGATTCGAGGATTCAATGATTCGAGGATTACAGGATACCAGGATTGCAGACACCTGTTCCTCGGTCGGAATGGGAAAACTACATCTATGGTACTGATTACGATATGTTTCCCGAAATCTTTAGAACTTTTGGCAAAGAAGTCACTGGGAAACGTGCAATAGAATGGTGTGCATGTCATAAATAAGTAATATGGATAAACGGACAGAAAAAGCTCACGGGAAAAAAATGCGCTTTATAGCGTAGAGAACGCGCTCTCGAACGGTTTGTTTGCGTGTTTCGTGAAAACGAACGCGTTCATACTCAGATTTTTGCAAATTTGTTTTTCATGGGTACTCAAAAGGATAATCATCTGACGACAGGTGATTGGTATCATGTTGATATCTATCGGTATTTCGCCGGTATAGCGGTTTTCTCGACTGACCGGTCTGGTGTAACTTTTCTTATCGATTCCAACTCTGTGTTGTTTACCTCTAAGACTTCACCGTCGTGAATTCTCGTATTTTTATTTGCAGTCAATTGACCTTGCAAGTTGCACTTTAGTCAGTTGAGAGCCTAAGCCAAAGCTGTCTCGAATCAGTCAAAATTTGGTTACCAATCCCGTGTTGTATTTTTATTTTTGTTTCAGAGTTTACCACATATTCAACCATTATATGCACTGCAAAGGACACAGGGTTACTCTGATAATCATAGGTATCATTCTTCTTGTGCTCACTTTGCACCTGCTCTTGGCCAATTTCGTTGCATCTTCACTGTATACAAACATTTTCTCGGTGACTTTGTTTTCATGGAACAAGAAAATATTGACTCCTTTCGTTTGTCCTCTCCGAGGAGAACAGTGGATTGTCGTTACATCGATATTCTATCCGACACCAGCGATTCACAAGATGCTCAATTTGACCACCCGGTGGAATTTGATTGTAATCGGTGATCGAAAGACTCCGCGCGACTGGCTTTCACGTCTGCATGGCAACCAATCGCGTGTTCTCTTCTTGCCCATTGATGAACAGCCATCACTGGGCTATTCTATTCTCGACTACTTGCCTGAAAACTCGTATGCTCGGAAGAACATTGGCTATCTAGTTGCCATTCAGTGTGGAGCTCAAACCATATTTGAATCAGACGATGACAATCTATTAGAAACAGACGACATTCGTGTTTTGCCTAAAATTGCTACACCAAGCCATGTACCTTGGTTAGCCTTTCGTCGGCAACGATCACCTTTTGTCAACATCTATGGCTCCTTTGGCCATCCACAAATATGGCCAAGAGGATTCCCTGTGGATGAATTAAAAAATGTCACTGAAGACGGATGGCATTCCTTGAGACGAAATGAGGATACGAAAACAAATGTCTATATTCAACAATACCTAGCCGATCTTGATCCTGATGTCGATGCCTTAGTGAGTTCATGTGTCTATTCTCGCATTCTTCATCGAATACGCTTTCACACCAGGATTCACTTTCTAAGAAGATATATAGGATGTCTCGATCTTAAATTTCCTTGTCATATAATTTGAAGAGAGCTCTCATCGTTGTTCTAGTATCGTTTGACTAATCCTCTCTCAATCGGTCGAATCAAGTTCGATCCAAACCAACCTCCAGTGGCACTTCAACCGTTCACTTTCTCACCGTATAACACTCAAAACACAGTTACACACTATGAGGCTTTTTGGGGCCTTTACCTACCAGTAACAACAGCATTTCGCGTTTGTGATATTTGGCGAGGTTTCTGGGTGCAACGTCTTTTGTGGGACATCGGTGGTCGTCTGATGTTTGCCACAGCTACCGTGAAGCAAGTAAGAAATACTCATTCTTACATCAAAGACATGGATGAGGAACAACAACTGTACCATCAGTCAGGCTCGTTCGTTCGTTTTCTCGCTTCGTGGTCATCCCCTTTACCATCGCTTGCCCAGAGAATTGCTCAGTTAGGCAGAGATGTGGCTCGGGCTCATTTTTGGGAGTCAAAAGAGGTCGACATTGTGGACGCTTGGCTAGCCGATCTTCGTTCAGTGGGCTATTCTTTTCCGTCGATCGTCTATCCGTCACCTCCTCGTGCCGTTATCCAGAAACGAGCAGCCGTATGTGTTACTGGCTTTGTCGAATGCGTTCGGGAAGCATGGGCGTCTACTGATGTTGCTATTCGAGAACGTCTTCGTGGCGAAATTGACACCTTTCTTTTTCTCTCCTCATCTCTAGTCAAAGGTCCTGTTCCATTGGCTACGCGACTCAAACAAGCGCGCTCTTACCTAAACTCAACAGTGACAGTACTCTATGAAGATAGAGACATTGATCCTGGCATTCCTACCGATTGTAAACCCGAGTTTCAGATTGCCAACGGAGCTCGCATTCCTGTTCTCGGCTATTTACAACAACTGTGGTCTCTTGCTGAATGTTATCATCTCGTGAAAGACTATGAGCAACGTTTCCATATTCAGTATCAACTGCTGATTCGCGCACGTGTCGACACAGTCGCTCGAATGCCACACACATTTGAGCGACAGGGTGCGTTCAATGTCAATACGACACTCATCATCCCACGTAATCGTTACTTTCCGACAGCATATGACGACGGTTTTGCCTTGGGTCCTATGGAACTGATGTATCATTTTATGACGAGGTGGTATGGTCTTCGGCACTGTCCATCAGATAACAAGTATCAACCAGGCATCTTTTTGAAGAGACATTTGCTTCGTTTCACCAATGTTACAATCGATCCGGATATGACTGGTGCATCTGATGCCATCCCACATGGACCGAATAATTGTCATTAAGACACTGATGACTAAGTTCATCGCTGTGCTTTTGTGTGCATATACATGCATGAGCAAACAGAATCAAAGCAATAGTTGATCTTTATCTCGATAAGCACTCTCTTCAGACTGAAATAAACTCGATCATAATTGCTCAATTAACATTCTCCATCTAGCTAATAAATGGATGTTATTCTGTTTCTCTGTAGGTTTTGCATTTGCTTGTATTTTAGTGATAGACGTAAATGAAAAGATGAATAAGGGTGCGATTGTTTAATGACAACACCACTATCTGTTTTTTCTGTTACAATAAATACGTAAGGAATCTTAGCAGCGAACTCGAGTATTTCTTGCTAATATTCGTCTATGCGCTTGTGTAAACTCTCTCT